CAGGTGTATATCAGTATGTAGTGTCTCTACTTTAAAGAGTCCTCTCCTGCTGATGTTCAGGTGTATATCAGTATGTAGTGTCTCTACTTTAAAGAGTCCTCTCCTGCTGATGTTCAGGTGTATATCAGTATGTAGTGTCTCTACTTTAAAGAGTCCTCTCCTGCTGATGTTCAGGTGTATATCAGTATGTAGTGTCTCTACTTTAAAGAGTCCTCTCCTGCTGATGTTCAGGTGTATATCAGTATGTAGTGTCTCTACATGTCTCCATGCTTTAATATTCAAAAAGCTCTTTATTTTTCTCATACTGCCTGTGCTGCAGCACCTCCTTTCACCCTCTGTCTGAAACCAGAGCCCAGTCTGCTCTGATTGGTTAGCTGGCCGGCTCTGTTGTGATTGGTCAACCGCTTAGATGTCCCGCCTCTTAGCCTATCACGTACAATGTGTTGGAGCGCTAGCCAGTAGGAGTGTGAGTGTTATGTAGTGATGTCACTGTGTTCAGGAAGTAAACAAAGGAGTTCAATGGAGGGAACACAGGGATTTTAGCCGTTGCAGACCATTTCCATTCACAAAACCCTATAGATCACACCACAGGGAAGGGAAACCAACAAAAAGAAGAATAGGGACTTTTTGTGGTCCATAACAAAAAGTACATTTGTAGATATGTCTCTGTGTCTCTGTGTCTCTGTGTCTCTGTGTCTCTGTGTCTCTGTGCACCTGAAGTGAATCTCTCCTGAAGCAACAATGGCTCCTTTGTGAGGCGTGTTATCGACTCCGTGAGAAACAGAGATGTTCCCTGAGTACGGTTTCAATGAACGGCTTTATCTCAGAGTGGCTTTCTCCTCCTGTGGGAAAAACTCAGCTTCTTCTCAGACTGACTTCCCCAATTTAACACCCATTATTTTACTTTTTTATTACAGGTATCCCCCATGAAAGCTCCTTTTAGATCAGCTGGTGTAGGTCGTCCTCAAGGTCAGCGTGTGTTGTTGAAGTGGCTCTAACCAATTTTTAAATAACAATGAAATGTGACAGTGTCAACATTTGGGGGCACATTTTAAAGGACACATCAAATGCAAATAAAGTCTGATAAAGATGAGAAAAGTTGTTGCTCATGAAAGTAACATTTGTTTGTAGGATAAAGGGTGTGTTGTTTCATTTTTCAAACTGTTCCGTATTGTTATTGCCTTTTAGAAGATCAGGTTCAGTGGATTACATTTCCATTTTGAAGTAGAAAGAGATTGATTCATTATTTAGATTATAAAAAAGTCAGAAAATAGTGGGAACAAATTGGAATTATTATTCCATTACCTTATTAATAGCTATAATCTGGTATAAAGCATATCTTCTCTCTGAGATGTATTTGTATGCATAGAAGCAGCATATCCTCACATTTGAAAGGCTAAAATAAAATTGTTATTTTTGTAGGAATACTGCAGTGCAGAAAAACATAGCAACAAGTCCCCAATCAAATATTTACTGAAGTAAAAGCGCTGGTATTCAAGTATTACGTAGCAAAACATGGAAATACTTGAATAAAGTAGTTCATATTTTACACATCTGTTTTTTTATTTTGGTATTTTGATTTTGGCTTATTTTTATTGTTTTTTTATTGTTATGTGTAACTGTCCAAGGACTGCAGATGGAAATTAGTTTTTAGCTATTTTCTGGCGTCTCAACTCTTTTTGATTTATGAATTTATTTCAATTTAAATACTGATATATTTCACTATATTCCCCATTGACATCAGGACAGCAGAAAGCTTACACATCTCTCCGGCGCAGACTGAAAACTCATCTCTTTAGACTCCACTTCGAGAGATAGAATTACTAACAAAGCACTTATATACTTAAATACTTTTTTTCCCTTAAAATTGTTCTCTATCTGTGTTTTACATTTTTGTTTTACTTTTATGTCTGCACCACGACACCAAGTCAAATTCCTCGTACGTGTCAACCTACCTGGTAATAAACCTAATTCTGATTCTGATGCATTCAATAAAGACATTTAACAATAATAAACAAATGGCGTTCCCCCTCCTGTAAAGGCTGAATGGAGCTCCATCTCTTTACCTTGTCTATGAAACATGGAAATACTTGAACAAAGTAGTGACAGTAGTATTTTATACATCTGTATTTTGATCTGTTTTAATTGTGTGTGGCACTAGGTGATTGTTATGTGTGTAACTAAGGACTACAGATGGAAATGAGCTTTTAGCTTTGATCTGGCGTGTTAACTCTTAACTCTGTATTTTAATGCATTTAATAAAGACATAGAATAATAATAAAAACACGTTTTAATTTCCCCCCTCTGTAAATGATGAATGGTCTCTTCTGTATGAGGTTTATTTCTATGCATGATCCTTGTTCAATAAAGACATATAACAATAATACAAAATGCCTTTCCCCCTCCTGTAAAGCTGAATGGAGCTCCGTCTCTGTACCTTGTCTATGAAGGTGGCGAAGCGGTTGTTGAGGCTCTTGATCTGCTCCTTCTCGTGGGCGCGGCTCATGGAGAGGCTGGGGTCTATCTCCAGGTTCAGAGGGGCCAGCAGGCTCCTGTTGACGGACAGAGAGGCCAGCGGGGCCCCGAGGCCGTGGTGGAGCCCGTTAGTGCCTGCGTACAAAGAGCTGCTGCTCAAAGAGAGACCGCTGAAACCTCCAGGACCAGAACCATAGCCACTGAGCCTCCTGGAGCCAACTCCACTGCTGCTGCGGACTGAACTGCTGGAGCTGATCCGCTTCGAACGACTCAGACTCATCGTGGAGGGAGAGGAGCTGAGACCGAGAGAAAGATGGACTCAGGAGGGTGGATTGAAAGGAAGCAGAGAGGCAGGTTGTGCAAAGACTAAGACAATAGAAGAGGTTTGGGATCAAATGCAGAAGAAGAAGACTTGCAGAAAATGGCGGTCAAAAAGAAGTGGACCAGTCAGTGAGATGTCCGGCCACAGTGAGCTGTCTCAGGTGTCTCGTGCCTTTTTAATCCTCTCCCGAAGGAGGAGGAGACGGGGTGTCAAATATCTGACTTTCAGGTAAAATGTCAAGAAGCTTCCTGTTCATTCTGCTGGAGGACGAAGCCTGTTCAAAAACAATCCACAACTGAACCTTTCAAAAAACTTCATTGCAGTCTTTTTTGGATAAAAGCTGATCTACTTGTTTGTTTGGCTCCTTATTTCAGCCGCACTGCCTCTGGTCAGTTAACCAGGAGAGGTGAGGTGTCTGTGTGATTGTATTTCATCCTACTTTAGGTTTAAAACCAGCCCAATCAGGTCCTTTATATGAACATGATATGATACAACAATACCTATTCTGAAATGTTACATCACAGCAGCTCTATCTGCAGCATCAACAATGACAACAAACAAGGAAACAGACATTTAACCAGAGGTGGGAGAAGTACTCAGATCTTGTACTTTTACATTTCATTACATTACATGTCACTTGTTAGACGCTCTTATCCAAAGCGACTAACATACTCAATACTGTGGGCAATCCCCACAGGAGCAATTTGGGGTGAAGTGTCTCAGGGACACAACGACATGCTGACTGCAGTGGGGTTTGAACCTGTGACCCCATGATCCCAACACCACCACACACCTCCCTACTTGAGTAAAAGTAGAAGTACTCAGATCTTCTGCTTGAGTAAAAGTAGAAGTACTCAGATCTTGTACTTGAGTAAAAGTAGAAGTACTCAGATCTTGTACTTGAGTAAAAGTAGAAGTACTCAGATCTTGTGCTTGAGTAAAAGTAGAAGTACTCAGATCTTGTTCTTGAGTAAAAGTAGAAGTACTCAGATCTTGTACTTGAGTAAAAGTAGAAGTACTCAGATCTTGTGCTTGAGTAAAAGTAGAAGTACTCAGATCTTGTACTTGAGTAAAAGTAGAAGTACTCAGATCTTGTGCTTGAGTAAAAGTAGAAGTACTCAGATCTTGTACTTGAGTAAAAGTAGAAGTACTCAGATCTTGTGCTTGAGTAAAAGTAGAAGTACTCAGATCTTGTACTTGAGTAAAAGTAGAAGTACTCAGATCTTGTACTTGAGTAAAAGTAGAAGTACTCAGATCTTGTACTTGAGTAAAAGTAGAAGTACTCAGATCTTGTGCTTGAGTAGAAGTAGAAGTACTCTTTTTAAACACCTTTTTACCTTACACTTTTTACATCTTGGTGCTTTTTAACTTTATGTTTTATTCTGCTGAAGGTTTTCAGTGATGGGACGTCTGGATCTGGAGTTATCTGAGAAACAAGCTGAGCTAAAGTTAGCGACAGCCGAACAGCATGCAGATCACCAGGTCTGTTTGTTGTGGAGATGGAGAGACTCTGTGGATAATTCAACTCCTCCTGATCACTTAGAAACAATCAGAACAAACTTTGAGATAAGATCATCTTTTATGATTCCACAGTGGGGTAAATTGCAGTGTTACAGCATTAAAGGAACAGTGCAACAACAACAACAACAACAAGTCAAATTAGAGAAAGGCATGATATAATAAATAAGTAAAAACTTAAATAGATAATATCAATAGTTACATCGAAATATGATATTGCACATGAATGATTGAATTGAGCTTTGGTAGGGTTGGACTTGGTGGAGGGCTAAGACATAAGCACTGACATGTAATCACATGTTGATATGACTAGTTTCTTATATGTTCATCGAGCAGTTACAGAGCAAGACAATCATTCATTAAGAGTATTTTTGTCCAAGTCACATTTTCTATCTTTTTACTCCGTGTTTGGCCTCAACCAGTACCTCTGCGCAGTGAAGCTAAAAAACATCAGAGAAATAATTAAATCACATTTTTGAGTAGATTGAGTCTTTCTTCCTCAATGAGGTTATTTAAATGTGAAAAATATTTCAAATAAGGAAGACAAACTGATGTCTGAAAGTCTATTTGTTGTTCATTTGTCTAAACGTGTGTTCGATGCAGGTTCGATGGCTTCTTCTTCTTCTGTGGTGCTACCGGATCTGCCTTCTTCTTCTGTGGTGCTACCGGATCTGCCTTCTTCTACTTCTTCTGTGGTGCTACCGGATCTGCCTTCTTCTTCTGTGGTGCTACCGGATCTGCCTTCTTCTACTTCTTCTGTGGTGCTACCGGATCTGCCTTCTTCTTCTTCTTCTTCTTCTTCTTCTGTGGTGCTACCGGATCTGCCTTCTTCTTCTTCTTCCGTGGTGCTACCGGATCTGCCTTCTTTTTCTTCTTCTTCTTCTGTGGTGCTACCGGATCTGCCTTCTTCTTCTGTGGTGCTACCGGATCTGCCTTCTTCTTCTGTGGTGCTACCAGCTCTGCCTTCTTCTTCTGTGGTGCTACCAGCTCTGCCTTCTTCTTCTGTGGTGCCACCAGCTTTGCCTTCTTCTTCGGTGGTTCCAGCAGCTTTGCCTTCTTCTTCTGTGGTCCTGTAACGGTCCATTTAGAAATGAAAGAGAACACAGTTTTTAAAAAGTCTTTAAACACCAAAGGAAATGCATTTTTATGATGTCTAAGAAGAAGATATGTAAACACTGTGATTGCAAACTCACGCCAGACCTAAAACAAAGACTGTTACACATGTTTTAGGCGAAAATACAATATCCAAAAGGCACTGATGTCAACAAAACAAACGCTACCTTTCTTGTGAGTTTGTCCTTTGGCGGGTGGTGCCTTTCTTTTTCTTTTTCTCGCTGCTTTCTGCTTCAGCTCCACCTCCACAGGGTAGTGATCACTGACACTCAGAGTCTGGGACAGAAATAAAGGTTTAATAATCACCAACATGTTGCTCAGTAATCTGTAATCTCAGTAATCTGTCCATGAGTCTCACTTCTTCGTCCGTCAGGTGGAACTCTCTCTGGAAGTTGAAGGGTTTGGCTGATCCGGTTACAATGGCTTTTAGCATGCTCTCCCCGAACACCACGATCCTGTGTGTGGTGAAATATCAAGATTCAAGTCCAGAGATTCTCTTTGGATATTAAAAAGGCTTTTCTGCACGGACAAGGATTCAAACATAACAGAGTTTCATGTTCTCTTTAACCCGTTTTACAGCTGCTTACCCAGAGATGATTTAACTTGTTGTATCCCTACACTTCTTGCAGCACGTATTGTATTTACAATGTTGTTTTTAAACTATTCTGTATCTCTGTGAAGCTGACCATTGAGCAGTAAGTAACCCAAGTAAGGAGGCAGAGGCAGAACGTCCATATACAACCCGGTGTGGGCATTTATTAATCATGGGCACATGATTCACAGCATCAATATGACTGCCTCATGTGAACACAGTCACCAGCAACAAGGATCTCCCACACACCCAGACTAACAGGAAAACAGAACCTAAATACACACAGGAGTAATAAAACCAACAAGACACAGGTGAGGGGGGAGGAGACAACACAGGGCACCAGGTGAACACAATCAGCAGCAACAAGGATCTCCCACACACACACAAGCCGTTTCTCAATCCCGAGGAAACTGGCTTCCAAGCCAATATTTCAGGGATGCTACGCCATCGAGTGCCGCCGAAGGACTGTTCCAATCTCCAGCATACTTGGAATTCCACCGAGGCCGCGTCCTTGGTTTGGGGGTAATTTCGAGGCTGCACATGGGTAGACTTCGCGTCCTTCAAATCCGCACAATGCTTTGCGTACGGACCAATTTCAACAAACCTTGCGGAGAAAGGCTGAACCAACGCAGCACAGCACACATTTAAATGTAAGTATGTAGTGGCGTAGATCATGTGTTGGTAAATATGTTACTCTGTTACATTTGTTATCACGAAATATGTGTTCCGTGAAAGTAAAGCAAGTTCATAATTAGATAGACATCGTGAGGTATTTATTTTCCGTACAGTTTATGTTGAAACCGTTAGAGAGAGTGGCACACTTGTTAGCCTGTTCCATTCTTCTTCGTTTTCCGAAGCCGTGGCTTGGAAGTATACTTGCTTCGTCTCTGAAGGAAGTGACTTGGAAGTACGCGACCACCAAGCCAGCATCCTCGAGATTGAGAAACGGCCAGTGCGTCCTATTCATCATTGGTTCAGGAGTTTGATGGCTTGTGGGACGAAAGACAGCCTAGATCTGTTCTATTTAAACAGAGGGCCACGATATCTCCGCCCGGATGGCAACAGTTCAAAATAAGAGGCAAGAGGGTGCCTCAGGTCACTCACAACATTGTGTGCCATTTTTAAAACTCTGTCCTTGTATAGGCTTTCTAGACTAGAAAATGAGTAAGTAAAGGTGAGATGAGTGCTGCTCCAACTGCTGTCGATACTACGATATCATCGTTGTGTCCCCGTTATCAACATCTAAAACACACATCCCTGTCATGCTAACGTCCATTTGTCCTTTCTCCTGTTTCCATTGCTGCGTCCTGTGGTGCCATGTTTGAGTCGACTTCTCTCATGTGCATGCTTCGCTGTATTGTGGTGGCAAGGTGTCCTGCACGCTTCAAAAGATTTTGTAGCTCTGCAAATCCCCGATTA